ATGATAAGACATATTCATAAGATATGTCAAATTCATATGATGAAAAAGACACATATAATTATAGTTAAATGTTAAATAGACTCATGTAATTATATAAACACACATCATTTCATTATTTGACAACTTTTTAAAACCATTCTTATTTTTCAAATGAAAAACATAGCATATGGTATTTATTAGAATTCCATTATTAATATAATATTTTTAATTAATTGGTGAAAGACTTATAATGAGATACTTACGGAAATGAATTATTTATACTTTTCAAAGATTTATATGAACAATCATTACTTTAAATTTAATTTAGTTATTTTTATAGTGAAAAGAATAAAAAGACACATTTCCAAGATGATAAGACTAATTCTTAAACATTTTCACAATCTCTTAAACTTTGTTTCATTTTTTACTGTAAAGAACACATTCTTAGGATGTTAATTCATATTCTTATGATGAAAAGACACAATTATACGCATTTAACCACATTTCTCATTGTTGCATGTTAAAAAGACACATGATTATAAAACACACATTATTTCATATTTCAAAAATATTTTTTACAACTAATTTCATTTTTATAATGAAAATGCACAATGTTTGAAATTTATTGGGATTCCAATTATCAATAAGTTCTTTTTAATAAATTGGTGAAAGAATTACAAGGAAATACTTATGAAAATAGATTATCTATAGTTTTTTTGAAGATATATGCGAATAATCATGACTTGTAGTTATTTTTAGATAGTACATTTAGAATATGATAAATTCTTAAAAACTAACACAGTTTTATAATGAAAAGATACGACTCTTTAAATTAATACATCTAAAGAGTAAAATGAGGATTAGTTGGTGAGGAGCCGGTGGTGAAGTTGGTACCAGAAGCACCTTCTGATGGAAACGAGGAGTAGACTCGGCTACTTGAAAATGACCTTTGATGAGTTGTTGAAAGATCAAAAGAAGCTCTCCTCGTCTTCATTATCTATTTATTGGGCTATTAAGTCCTTATACTTTTTATTTCATCTACCTAGTCTTATCTCTCTCTGCTGTAACAAACCACTATCAAAAATAATCATAAAAACAATATCTTCCTTTGTTTTCGATCATGGCTAAACGAGCACATGAGATAAAAGCTGGTTAAACAAGAGTTTTGGAAGGCGATTATGAGCATACCAGAAGTATCTAGATCTCAGATAATATGCATATGCAAAGATCAAGCTGCAAGGAATCCATAGGAAGAAACCGTGTTTAAATCAGAAGTAAATTCCATCCAGAAATCTATACGAAAGTTGATGAAAAGTTTTATGTTTCTCTGATCCAAAAACCTGCAATTTTACCTTTGAGTTCAGTGTGTATGTAGGCTACTTTGGAGGTGATTTTCAACCAGATATAAGGAAATTGGATCACAATAAAGTTATATATGGAAAGATCCCATTGTAGAGAGTTCATTGGATCAATCGAATTATGAATATAATTATAAACAATTCATATGTCATCTTCAAAGTTGGGCCAAAATCATCTGAATCTGCAGAAACAGACAAAATTGTTTGGTAACAGCATTTTTAGAAGATTGTTTGACAAGGTTAATAAATGCTGATCGAGTTGAAATATGGTATATGTTCTCATGGCATGTGAGGCTTCATAATCAACGGTGGAATTTAGGAGTGAACGGTTCATTTGTTAATTATTCATGTTTTCTTGAGCATGTTTGATGTAATATAACAAAGTATGACAAACCTCCAATAATCCAGTTCAACGAACAACTTATATGGATCCATTTATGTCTCTCAGATAATGTGTAGAGCTTAGTGTGGCAGATAAAACTGAAGTTGTTTTGTTGGGGCTTCAATGGGGAGATGACAAAACAACTAACATTAGAGCTGCAAAGTCCGGACATCTTATTTTGTTTAGCTTTATTTTGATGTTTTTTTACATATAATATTATTCTACTTTTTATACGAAATGCAAATTTAAATTTAGCCTGAATTCAGCATGTTGAAATAATATGATTATTTGATAAAAAAAATAATTTCTAGAAAGACTAAAACGTGATACTACTCCAATCAGAAGTAATCAAAATACCATTCTTGAAATGAATCATTAACATACAAATTTTTTTAAATTATTTGTATTGTTTTTTGAATAAATGATATCATTTAATTTTACCTAAACAATGAATATATAAATTAGATATACTTATTATGATTATAAAAATATAATATAAGCACAAGAAAGTAAAATATAACTAAATTAAATAGCATATATATATATATAATAATTAAAAACAAAAAATAATACTTAAGGTAACCAATTGAAACAATAAAAAAATCTATAAACTTTATATAAATATAGTATTAGAATAATTATTGGTTGATATAAATATAGTATTGTTTATATAAACTTTAGATTATTTTTTTATCATGTCAAATTAGAATAGAATTATAAGAATATATATATATATATATTAACTTTTTTTATTAATTTTGCATTCTTTAAAATAGAGAATATTGAAAGTTACTGTCATTTTAATTGAAACCAAAATATTTATTAAAAATAACAATAGATTTTAAAATTATTTTTATTATTTGTTTGTCTATAATATTGTTTTCAAGCTATAACAACTTTAAATGTTTCATAAAATAATATGAATTTCTGTAAAATAGTTTTATTATAACTTCCCGCCCGTAGGGCATGCCAACCCTAGTATTAAATAAAGAAACAGTTCATAGATATTTAAAACAACACACGAAACTTGGTATTGGAATAAACTGTCATAAATAAATTAAACAATTCTTATAACAATTTTGTTGAAGTTATTACTACAAACATTTAATCTCAATAAAAAAAGCTGAGTACTGTTTACTCTTTATTAGACTTCCTACTATTAATAGATTAGTTTTAACAAATTTGGGAAAGATTGACAATGAGATACTTATAATATGGTTTGCTTGTAGTTTTTCAATGATCTATATGAATAGTCACAATTTTTTCAGATTTGATGTAGTTCTTTTTGATTGTACATTTACAATATGGAAAGCTCTTAAAACTAATACAATTTTTTTTAATAAAAAACATAACTCTTTATAACTAACACAGTTTAGAAGACAAAAAGATAACGTTTTTAAGATGATAAAACTAGTTCTTAAATATTTTCACAATCTTTTAAATTTTCTAAATTTTCTTGTACTTTTAGAATAAAAAGACACATTCTTAGGAGGTAAAGTCATATTCTTATGAAGGAAATACTCATCTCCACACATTTTCATAATATTTTTTAATAGTTGCATGTTGAAAATATACATATAATTATAGAAACATACATCATTTCATAATTTAACAACTTCTTTAGAACTGATTTCATTTTATAATGAAAAGACATAACTTTTGATATTTATTAAGATTCCTATTATTAATAGTTTATTAATATTATATTATGAAATATTTTTTAAGATATTTTGTCAATAGTGATGTTTTTGTACTCTTTTGTGAGATTTCAATAGAGAGAATTGGTATTTGAGAAAATTAGTGTTATGTTTAGACCATTTCTAATGTATTTTGCTATTATATTTTTTTCTAAAATAAATGTTAAGTTATTTAAATATATATCTATAAAATAGCATTGTGTTATTTTTTCTTAGAAATATTTAAGAAAATGTAGCAGGAAAATTTATTTATATTAAATCAGTAGAAAACACATAAATTTTATTTTAAAATAGATTAAACTAAAAATATGAAAAAATATATTTTACAATTTTAATTTTTTTTCATACGGAAGAAAAATATACATTATTTTTATCTGACTAAAAAACATTAATTGAAAATTTGTAAAGCTTGCGAGTCAAGCGTGTACGTAAAACAAGCATTTTTTGTACGTAAAACAAGCATACAAAAAGAAAATATACTACTATTTCTTTTATTCGACACAAATACTAAAAATAAATAATTCGAAAAGCTTGGGAGTCAAGTGTTGTCTAAACCATCCGACTGTCACGTGAACATATTATAAATACTAATCTTCTTTACAATCCCTAAACACCAAAACCCTTTTTGCAGTAAATCGCTCCAAAACCCTAAAACAGAATTCGATCGTCATCATCTTCAGCAGTCGACATGGTCAAGTCTAAGGAAGAATCTGTCACCAAAGTAATCTCTTCTTTACTACTAGCTTTTATGTCTTGTTCATTGTCTATTTTGTCTTGATTCTTTTGGGGGTGATCTAAACTCTGTTTTGTTTTGGGGGATTTTTCTAGGTCAAAGCAGCACTTGTCTCAAGGAGGAAGCCATCGAAGAAAAGTAGGAATTTCCAAAAGCTCTTACTTTATTGAAACCCAAAAGCTCTCCATGGTTTCTTCACTAATCCTAGAAGACTCACAAGCGTTAAGAATAAGAAACGCAAATAAAAGCCAAAAGCTCTAATTACTTTATTGAAGAACCAAACAAAAAACACAAAAACGTGTTTAATTTCCCTCTCGCTTGGGACTAGTCTTGCAATCAATGTAAAGACAGACAATCACATCAACCATTTGGTAGTAAAAGGTAATCGACGAAGCAAACAGCACAGCAAATAACCACGTTCTCACTGAGCTCGAAAGCTCCAATCCTGGGTGAGCGAAGTTCAAAAGTTGTTGATTCGGAGAACACAACTATCAGCTCCCTCAAAGCTACGAAAAGATCCGATTGTTTGTTGTCGAATTGCTTGAACGCGACACAAGGCATACGATTCTTCACAAGTATTTAAAGGTTGATCATCATACGCGTCTGAACACAGCAGCGAAATACTCTGCTTTTTATTATTGCATATATCTTATTATTCTCCCAGTTTATTATTATTATTTTTTGATCCCTCTATTATGAGTTATTTATGTTATTATAACGAATTAAAAAATAGTTATCTAATACATGCTAACATTTTCAAAAGACAAAAAATAACACTCAGCTTCCCTAAAACCCCTAAACACCCAAACGCAGCTAAAATCATTCGAAAACCCTAAACAGCAGCAGTCGCCATGGCCAAGTCTAAGAAAGAATCCATTACCACAGAAGTAGTCATATTTCTCTCTCCTTCTAGCTCTATGTCTGTAATTTTGTGGGTAATTAATCGCAACTATGTTTGTTTTTTTTTTGGGGATTTTTCTAGGTCGAAGCAGCAGCACTTGACTCAAAGACGAAGCCATCGAAGAAAAGTAAAGATTCCTTCTTGTTATTTACTTTTATCTTTGTGGGTTCGTAGCTGTTTGTTTGTTAGACTCCCTTTGTCTGGACGACGATTTGAAAAGCCAACAGCTTTTAGTTCTGTAATTGAATTGATTATTGGCGCTTTTATGGTTGTTTACATTTGAGTACTTCAGACCAAACAAACACGATGTTTGATTTTTTTTTTTTTTGACTTGGTTGTTTTCGTTAGGTAAGAGAGATGTTGATGTGGACATCCCAAAGGATCCCAAGAAGCAGAAGAAAGAGTTGATTCAAGCTGATGAGAAAAAGGCACCACCACCAAAGAAGAAGAAGAAGAAGAAGAAGAAGGTAGTATGTTCTTTTCTTTATTAATTTTTTAGTTGTATTAGTGTCAGTGTCAATCAAAAGTAAAACTGTTTGTGCATTGTTATGCAGGCTAAAGTTTCACCAACTAAAACTTCTAAACAAGAAAGCAGCAGAGAGGTAATGTTTTCTTTTATGTATCCCCCTGTATAGAATGTAGTACATATCTTTATTCTAACTCTTAAATCTATCTTTTAAACAATAAATTACTAATGTTGAAATGGTGGAGGCAGAGCAGAAATCAGTTGCATACACCATCCTTTTATACTGGATTATGAATTGTATTCCTTATGGTTTCAGCCCAAGACGCTATTTGCTGGACATCTTCCCTTTCACGTTGAGAAATCTGACTTGTAAGTTGCATATACTTTTTTTTATTCTTGTTCTTCAGATGGAATGCTTGAAATACTTATATATAACTCTTTAAACAGAGAGAAGTTCTTCAAAGAAGTTGGTGAAATCGTTGATGTTAGAGTTGGTAAGGGAATCGCACATGTAGAGTTTGCTTCTGAAGAAGCAGCTCAGAAGGTAAGTTATTGCTATTCTTTAGTTTGGATTTGTTACCTTGGTGTTGGAATATGACTCTGGATGTATGTATCGTTGGTTGTTATGTAGGCATTGAAACTGAATGGTGAACCATTACTAGGCCGCAATATTCTGCTGGATTTTGCATACACGAAACCTGCTCCACGTCCACGAAACGTAGTCAAAACGATTTTTGTTACAGGATTCAATAAGTCTGTGACTGAAGATGAAGTATGATTCTCAATCTTCAACTTTCTTTAAACCAATTTCTTCTACATGTTACGATAAAATTTATCTGTTTTGAAACATTGCACAGATGAAAATTGCCTTGAGAGCTCATTTTAGTGCTTGTGGAGAGATCAAAAGGATTTCTCTTCCTTATTACCAAGAGACTGGTGATAGCAAGGGGTTAGTAACTCTTCTTTGGTAGTTTGGTGAATGATGATACTGCTAACGATAACGTTGATGATACTCATGGAACATATGGTTTTCTTTAATCTTTCAGGGTGGCTTACCTAGATTTGAATGAGGATGGATTCAACAAGGCATTGGAACTAAACGGAAGTGGACTAGGAGGACGGAACATAGTGGTGATTGAAGCTAGACCAAAACAAAAGAATGCTGACCAAAATAGTGGACGTGGCGATGATGACACCTCTAAGAGAGGACCTGGAAGAGGCAATGGTGAACGTTGAACACCCAGCAAAGCAAAGTGTAATTGCCTCAGTCCAAGGTTTGTTTGTTCATCTCCTCGTTCCTTATAGAATCTCTTCTCATAAACTTTGTGCTTTTGTATTGTCTATCTGTCATTGCAGGGAAGAAGATCGTCTTTGATGAGTAGTGAAAGATCTTGGCTCTTCTTTTATTCTATCTTTCAGCCCTTTTTGTTTTGCCTAGTTTATGATGAGAAATACACAGCTTATATGATGAGTTGGTTACTCTTGGATTTGTTGTATGTTTTTTCTTTATTAACAAAGTTTTGCAGATGTGATATTTTTATTAGTAGAAACTTTGAATGAATTCCTTGAACCCCTGGCTTCACTAGTTGTCATTTTACTTTTGGGCGATTTTTTTATATTTGATTTTAATTAATAATATATTATGAAATTTTTGTTAAGAAAATTTATCAATGGTGACCGTCTTATACTCTTTTGTAAGATTTTCAATAGAGAGAATTGGTATTTGAGAAAAATAATGTTATGTTTAGACCATTTCTAATATATTTTGATATTTTATATTTCTAAAATAAATATTAAGTTATTTGATTATACTTCTCTAAAATAGCATTATGTTATCTTATTATAAATATTAAGTTATTTGATTATACATCTCTAAAATAGCATTATGTTATCTTATTATAAATATAAAAAGAACTATTTTTAAAAATATATAGAATATAGCTATTTATATTTGACAATAATATATAGATTTTGCAATTTTTTTGTAAAATACATGAAAAGTAAATTTTGCAATTTGTTTTTCAGACAGAAGATTAAAATAGACTCTTTTTTATTAGACAAAAAACATTAATTGAAAATTTGTAAAGCTTGCGAGTCAAGTGTCTAAAACAAGCATACAAAAAAGAAAATATACTATTTCTTAATCTGACTAAAGATACTATAATTAAATTAAAAATAAAAACTGTAACGCTTGGGAGTCAAGTGTCTAACAAGTCGAAAGGGCACGTGGACGGTTCAGGTCAAAACAAAAAGATTAGAGAGATGTATGTACCCTATAAATACTAATCTTCCCATAGAATCCCTAACACACTTTTCGCAGCAAAATCACTCGAAAAACCCTAAAAACAGAATTCGATCGTCATCATCTCCAGCAGTCGCCATGGTCAAGTCTAAGATCGAATCCGTCGCTAAAGTAAGTCAACTTTCTCTTCTTCTAGCTTTTATGTCTTTCTTCACTGTGATCTAAACTCTTTTCTTGGTTTTTGGGGGATTTTTCTAGGTCGAAGCAGCAATTGTCTCAACGACGAAGCCATCAAAGAAAAGTAAGATTCTTTTCTACTTTTTTTGTTCGATGTTTGACTCTGGCTTGGCTTAGTGATTTCGTGTTTCCTCTGTTTGGGCGACGATGAAAAGCGTTATGATGGTGCGCTTTGTAATTGTTTACTTGAGTGCTTCAAGCCCAACACGATGTTTGATTATTCTAACTCAACACAGATGTTTTTTGGTTTCTCTTGTTTGGTCTGTTTAGACTGACGAAGAAAAGCGTTGTGATTGATGATTGGCTCTTTTGTAGTACTTGAGAGCGAGGCCAGTCAACACGATGTTTGGTTTTGATTTGGTTGTTTGCGTTTGTGTTACTTTAGGTAATGCGGAAGTTGATGTGGATATCCAAAAGAATCCCAAGAAGCACAAGAAAGAGAAGAAGGTACCAGCAAAGAAGGTAATAAGTAACTCCAGCGATAGTTCTGATTCTGAGGAAGAAGTCAAGGTAATAAGTAACTCCAGGATGTGTAAAAGCTTTGTATAAGTTGACTTTTTGTTGATATGTTCATAACTTTTGTTAGGTTGAATTGAAATTACTAACAGTTTTATTTAAGAACTCACTGTAAATTGTATTACTTTTGAACATTCAGACTAAGAAAGCCCTTGCCAAGAAACCTCTATCTAAGAAGGATGACTCATCTTCCGAAGATTCATCTTCGGATGAGGTATTAATCGGATAATAAAATATCTGGTTGATGTTAAAAGAATCAACATGCTTAACTTTGCAAATTAATTGTTTTTTAAAAAAAATCAGGAGCCTGCCCCTGTGAAGAAGCAGCCAGCAACCCTTGAGAAAACCAAGAAAACTAAGGCAGAGAGCAGCTCATCTGAAGATGACTCTTCTTCTTCAGACGAGGTATGAGTTACACTGTTACACAATGTTGGAGAAGTGTCGTCTCGTATGATTAATCTGTAATTTTTGTTGATAAATTATAACTAGGAACCCGCCTCTCCGAAGAAGCAGCCAGAAGTTGTTAAGAAAGCCAAGGCAGAGAGCAGCTCATCTGAGGATGAATCTTCTTCAGACGAGGTATGAATTGCATCAGTTAGTACATGTTTATCTCAATGTTAGTTGAATGTCTTAATCATCTGTGTTTGTTTTATGATAAATTACGATTAGGAACCCGTCCCTGCAAAGAAGCAGCCAGCAGTTGGTAAGAAAGCCAAGGCAGAGAGCAGCTCATCTGAGGATGAATCTTGTTCAGACGAGGTATGAATTGCATCATTTAGTACATGTTTATCTCAATGTTAGTTGAATGTCTTAATCATCTGTATTTGTTTTATGATAAATTACGATTAGGAACCCGTCCCTGCAAAGAAGCAACCAACAACCATTCCAAAGGCTGCCAAAGCAGAGAGCAGTTCATCATCTGAGGATGAATCTTCTTCTGACGAGGTAAGGATTTGCGTATTCATGTCTCTGTAGCTCAATATTACAGGAAAATCATATGCTGACTTTGCTGTTTCTGTCTATTGTTAAAATATAAATAGGAATCTGCTCCTCCAAAGAAGCAACCAGCAGTTGATAAGAGTGTCAAGCCAGCTGCAGAAGATTCATCATCCTCAGAGGATGATTCTGATGAAGACTCAGAAGATGATTCTGATGAAGACTCAGAAGATGAAAAAGTTTGGAAATGAATTGTTACTTGCGTTCACAAACAATCAGCGAGACAAACTAGTGAATGTTTTTTTTTCTTTTTATCTTTTGGTATAGAAACAGGAAGCTGCTACAAAGAAGCTACCAGCTGAGCAAGATTCAGATTCATCAGAGGAAGATTCCGATGATGAGGTTTGTTGTGACACAGTTTCTAGTTCTACTTTTTAACAGATATTTTCCGTGTCTTTGTACTTTTTTATGTCTTTTTTTTCTATACAATTACCTAGTACATAACTTTGCCTTATTTGCAGGAAAGTGATGATGATGAACCTCCTGCAAAGAAGGTATGTTCTTCCACCAAGTTATTTTCTTTATTATTTATTTTGTTTTAAGTCTCAAGTCAATAGAAGTAAACTGGTTTGCCTTGTTATGCAGGCTAAAGTTTCTCCAACGAAAACTTCTAAACAAGAAAGCAGCAGTGAGGAATCTAGTGAGGAGGAGAGTGAAGATGAGAAAGTAACTCCAAAGAAAAAGGTGCCAGTAATGTTACTTTTATGCATTCCCTTTGACAAATAGCCCTTTATAGAGTATAAGATAAATATCTTTATTCTGACTTTAAATAAACTTTTAATAAAAAAAACAGGATACTGATGTTGAAATGGTGGAGGCAGAGCAGAATCCAATTGCAAAACAAGTAAAAACTCCCATCCTTCTGTAATGTATTGTATTCCTTATGGTTATCTTTTATGTAATGTTTTAATTCTTAATCTTATAGCCGAAGACGCCAATCAATAAGACACCAACCACTCAGGCTCGAGGAGGATCAAACACACTATTTGCTGGAAATCTTTCCTTTCAAATTGAAAATTCTGACATGTGAGTGCACATAAGTGTTTTTTTTTGTTGTTCTTGTTCTTGGGATAGAATGCTGTTACTTGATACTTATATAACTCCTAAAACAGAGAGAATTTCTTCAAAGAGGTTGGTGATATCGTCGGTATCAGACTTGCTTCAGAACCAGATGGCCGTCGTAAAGGATACGGGCATGTTGAGTTTGCTTCTGCAGAAGCAGCTCAGAAGGTAAGTTGTCATTCTTTTACTTTGGAGTCGTTACATTGGTGTTGGAATATGACTCTGGATGTGTAACATTGGTTGTTTTGAATGTGTAGGCAATGAAACTGATGAATGGTAAACTATTACTAGGCCGCAGTATTCGGCTTGATGATGCTAACGCGAGGGATTCTCCACGAAGCAGGTACTTTTTTCTTACTTGCCATACAAACATAACATGTCGTGAAAGTGAAAGTTGGTTGCGTATATGATTGTTTTCGGGGCTAATATCGTTTTGATTTGTAGCAATGCTGAAGGCAACTTCCAGAGCAACCGCAAAGGAGAAGGAAGCAAAGTTAAAACGATCTATGTTGCGAGATTAGACAAGTCTGTGGCTGAAGATGAAGTATGATCCTCATCTTCAACTTTCTTTAAACCAATTTCTATCTATTATGATACAAACATTTATTTTAAAACAAAAAAAAAAATCTGTTGTGAACATTGCAGATGAGAGGTGCTTTGAGAGAGCATTTCAGTGAATGTGGAGAGATCACAAGGATCTCTCTACCTTGTGACCAAGAGACTGGTGCTACCAGGGGGTTAGTAACTCTTCTTTGTTGAATGATAGCGACAACGTTGATGATTGTGATGATGATAATCATGGAACATATGTTTTATTTCAGGATGGCTTATCTAGATTTGAAAGAGGATGGATACAACAAGGCATTGGAACTAGACGGAAGTGAACTGGGAGGAAGGAACATCTTGGTACTCGAGGCTAAACCAAGAGGACATAATGCTGATGGAAAGAATGATGGTGGTGATCGTTTCACAGCTACTAGACCCGGTCGTAGCCACCCTGGAAGAAGTCACCCTGGAAGAAGTCGCTTTGGTCGTGACCCCCCTAGAAGAGGTACTCCTGGTCGTGGCCCGGGTAGAGCACCCAGCAAACCAAGTGTACTTGCCTCAGCAGAAGGTTTGTTTTTTTCTCTCCTCGTCCCTTGAAGATTTTTGTGCCTTGTAGGATTTCTTCTCATACACTTTTGCTTTTGTATTTTGTCTTTGCAGGGAAGAAGACCGTCTTTGATGATTAGAGAAAAAGCTGGGCTCTTATTATCTTCTATTTTTCAATCTTTTTTATTTTTTTCTATTTTGGGTATTACATTAAAAACACTTATGTGATGAGTTGGTTACCCTTGGTTTTGTCTTTACTACTAAAGTTTTGCTTATGTGACAATTTTTATCTAGTAGAAACTATGAATGAATTCCAAGTGAACTAGGTTCTGTATACTAATCATTAGTCTCTAACATCGTCAATTTCGATTCTCAAATTCCAAAACTTTTAAGATTGTATTACCAAACTTAAAGGTGTGTAAGGTTTGTAACAATGTAAAAGTTGTGTGCTTTGTACCAAATCTGCAGTGCTTTGGTTTTCTTATCGATAGAGAGGAAGTACTCTACCTTCGGGCCTTGACGTCAGGGGTTCGACCCCTCCTTACCTCCGTTTGAGGATATAGGTCCAAAAGTGACCAAATTGACAAAAAAAAAAAACCTTCACTAATTGTCATTTATTAGTATAATTTTTGTTTGAAATTCATTCTGATATTAATATTATGAAATATTTTTGTCAAGATATGTATCATTGGTGATGTTCTTATACTTACCTACTCATTTGTAAAATTTTCAATAGAGAGAGTTGCTATTTTATCAAAACTGATGTTAAAACTGAGAGATTGCAAGACACAGTATAATTATTTATAAGTTTGGCTAGCTCTTGAACTTGAAGAATCCGATTAATTATTTTGGTGTTAACATTTGTCTAATAGACGAATAAAAGTGATCTTAAGCTAATAATATGAGTGAATATAAATCTTTGACCAAAAAATCATTTTTTCATGAACCTCGGATGAAACTTTTTTTTTGTTAGGATCAAAATCTAAACAAATATTATTTATAAGGTTTTTCCAAACATTTATATGAATTTATAGGTTTTTCCTTACATTTTATACGAATTATATTTATTCAAAAATGTTAAGTAAAAAATAAGGTCAAAGGCATAGAAGTAAACTCGTTAAACCCTAAACCTTTCTCCTCCCTCTCTTAGCCGCGTTCTCACTCTCATACATCTTTCTCAAGTTAATTCTTCAATTCTCTTCGCTCGAGTGATTTCGATTCTACATGTAAGTTTCTTTAATGTTTATCTTTCCACTAGTACTTCCTCTCTATCGATAAGAAAACCAAAGCACTGCAGATTTGGTACAAAACACACAACTTTTACATTACACACCTTTAAGTTTGGTAATACAATCTTAAAAGTTTTGGAATTTGAGAATCGAAATTGACGATGTTAGAGACTAATGATTAGTATACAGAACCTAGTTCCGGTGGGGCTTGCACTTTCTGTTCTTGAACTGTCCATCTTTCAGACTCAAATTTGTTGTTGTTGTTTTTTTGCATTTAATATAAAGTCTGTAATTTGGGTGCAGAGAGTTGGTTAATTAAGAGATTAGATAGCAGACATGGTTGAGCTGGAGAAGAACTCCAGTGAAGAGCTCAAGAAGAGAGTCAGAAAGCGAAACCGTGGGAAGAAGAACGATCACCAAAAGGCGGATGAAGAAGAAGAAGTCCACAAGGTAGAGGAAAACGCAGATGAAATCCAGAACAAGAAGGACAAAAAGGTTAAGAAAGTGAAGAAGCTGCAAGGAAGTGGCAAAACTGAGAAGGAGGAAGAAGAAGAGGTGCAAGCAAATGAAGAGGAAGTAGAAGAAGAGAAGAAGATGGTGGTTGTTGGGAAAGGGATAATGACTAATGAGACTTTTGAATCCCTTGACTTATCTGAGCAAACTTCCCAAGCTATCAATGCCATGGGCTTTGAGCACATGACTCAAGTACGTAGATATCTTGAACCCTTTTTTTTTTTCTCATGTTTATGCCAGATTTTGAATTTCTTGTGTAATGGTCCTTAAGTCTCTTAAATCATGTAGATTCAAGCTGGATCAATTCCTTCCCTTTTGGAAGGAAAAGATGTTCTTGGTGCTGCAAGGACCGGTTCTGGTAAAACCCTTGCTTTTCTCATACCGGCTGTAGAGTTGCTATTCAAAGAGCGTTTCTCTCCTCGCAACGGGACTGGTGTCATCGTCATTTGCCCCACAAGAGAACTTGCTATTCAGGTAAATCTCCATTTTCTTTAACAGTAGACATCTGTGACTCTGAGTTTCTCATCATTAATGTAGTTGACTCATTGTAATTGCATTTGTTTTGCTAAGTGTGAATATTGTTTGTAAGTTATTGCTGCCTCTCATCCCCATTTTCACTGTTCTGTTTTCAGACAAAAAATGTGGCGGAGGAGCTACTCAAGCATCATTCACTGACGGTTAGCATGGTTATTGGTGGCAATAACAGAAGATCAGAGGCACAGCGTATTGCAAATGGTTCTAATTTGTTGATTGCAACCCCTGGACGTCTGCTTGACCATCTTCAACACACAAAGGGTTTCATTTATAAACACCTCAAGGTACTGTCCTTTTCCGTTGTTCCATTTGGAGCCTGTTCTTGTCATATTTTTGAGAAAGTAGATGTTGAAAACTATTTACTGTTGAGCCACATGGACATCTTTATTGATAGATAAACAAAACAAGTAAAAGAGTCAGGGATGTACTGTATACGTCAAGTTATAATGATTTCATTCTCCCGCCTCGTTAATAGAATTAACTAGAGAGGGAAAACTACAGGGTGTTTGGCTTATAATTAGATTTTTAGCTTGGGCTTTTGTCTTGCTACTGTTTGGGATGTGAGTACTCGACTTTAAGCTGTAGATTATTCTGATGAATATTTATCTTTGTATATGTTCCTATAAATTGCAGTGCCTTGTGATTGATGAAGCTGACAGAATCCTGGAAGAAAATTTTGAGGAAGACATGAATAAGATACTGAAGATTTTACCAAAGGTAAATGATCTCTTTGGGTCTTAATAATAGTTCAACATTAGAAGAAATGAGAAAAAATGGATAAATTTTAACCTTTTCTGTATCATAGATTCATAGATTCTTTTTCTTTGCTTTTCTCTATAAGTTTTCCCACAAATCACCATGTCATTCTATTGCTATTCTCCTCAGCTAAAACCCACTAGTGAAATAGTGTTCTTGGATTGATATTGTAAAGTGTGTACACAAAGGATGTGCCAAAAGTATTTGGGATTACTGAGTTTGTTCTGATTAAAGTTCTTACTATGTTTCTGCAGACTAGGCAAACCGCACTATTCTCTGCCACCCAGACCTCCAAGGTAATTTTCTTTTAGCGGCATTATTAGTAGTACTTGCTGTTACTAAATTATTCTAACTTTTGTGAATCTGTGCAGGTTCAAGATCTTGCACGGGTGTCATTGACGTCTCCTGTTCTTGTTGATGTCGATGATGGTAGACGCAAGGTATGAATCACAAACTTTCTGGTAATGAAACTTTAAGGAGCACTTCCTGAACATACTTAATGAGAATTCCAAAACTGTTAGGTGACAAATGAAGGATTGGAGCAAGGCTACTGTGTTGTTCCGAGCGAGAAAAGACTTCTGCTTCTAATTTCTTTTTTGAAGAAGAACCTAAACAAGAAAATAATGGTGTTCTTCTCTACGTGCAAGTCGGTACAGTTCCATGCCGAAATCATGAAACTAATCAAGGTGGAGAGCTGTGACATCCATGGAGGACTGGATCAGAACCGAAGGACTAAAACGTTTTTCGACTTTATGAAAGCAGAGAAAGGTATTCTGTTGTGCACTGATGTGGCTGCTCGTGGTCTGGACATTCCTGCAGTGGTACGTATACGCACTAGGTTCTGTCATTGATTATAAATACTCAAATAGTATTACTAAAATCATATTGTGTTGAATCTTATCATCTGTAGGACTGGATTATACAGTATGATCCTCCAGACAAGCCAACGGTAGGAGAAATACTTCGCTCTTGTTTTTCTATATCATCTTCTCTATGTTATGTGCATCTTAGAGTGTTTTGTGGGTGTGGTTATTCTTGTTGTTGTGTGCAGGAATATATCCATAGGGTTGGTCGAACAGCTCGTGGAGAAGGAGCAAAGGGAAAGGCATTACTTGTCTTGATCCCTGAAGAGCTTCAGTTTATTCGATACCTTAAGGTATGAGTGTTATTGATTTTTGTGGTAAACCAACTTGTTTATTGATTGGTACTCTAATCCACAGGCTGCAAAAGTACCTGTAAAAGAGCTTGAGTTCAATGAGAAGAAGCTTCTGAATGTTAGATCCGCCCTGGTAATAGTCTTTTTGTGGGTGAATGACTTTGCATCTGTAGCAGGATTCGTTGTGACAACACCTTTCTTTTGTTGCTCTTGTCATGCAGGAGAAGTATGTTGCCAACGACTATAATCTGAACAAGACAGCCAAGGACGCATACCGAGCTTATATCGCAGCTTATAATTCACATTCTCTGAAAGACATTTTTAATGTTCACCGGCTCGATCTCCAGGTATTGTTCATACACATATAAACCATTGTTCTTGCAACATATTTTTGTGGGGTTTTCATATCTTTTTGTAATGGGGGATGATGTCACAGGCGGTTGCTCTATCGTTCTGCTTCTCGGCGCCCCCAAAAGTGAATCTGAACATAGAAAGTGGAGCTGGGAAGGTGAGGAAGGCTAGGAATCAGCAAGGTCGTAATGGCTTCTCTCCTTACAGTCCCTATGGCAAAGCCAAGTCCACACCAAAAGAGGCATGAAGTGTCTCCAAATGATTAGGACTGCCTGGAAAGCCTTTTTTTTTTGTTTTATAAAAGTTACTAGTTTTGTTTAAAGATTAAGCTGTATTCTGTTAGGTTAAATGTTTCTTGTAATACTTCAGTAAGCTTGTTATAAGAATTGTTAAATTTATTTATGGCAGTTCTTTCATTACCAAGTTTTGTGTAAATGTTATCTATAGTACTGTGATTTTTAATTGAAATTAAATGTTTCTTGTAGTATTTAACATATACTAGATTTGGAAGCGTGGAATTGTTTTCTGATAAAAGCAACAATGTAATAATTATACATTGCATATAATTTCTCTTATTAAACTTTGTGTACATGATGTATTT